TCGGCACTTTCGGCACGGCGGTGGAGGCGGCGGTGGCGTATGCGCGGGCGGTCGGCGAGGAGGGGCCGGCGCCACCGCCGCGCCCCGCGAAGCGCCCGCGCGAGTCTGCCGCTGCGCCCGCGCAAGAGCCCACCGCCCCTTCCTCCGCTCCCGCCGCCGCCGCCGCCGCCGCCGCCTCCCTCTTTGCCCCTGCCGCGCCATCCCTGCCTCCGAGCCGCCTGTTCGAGCTCCTGCCCGACGGGCGCACCGTCCACAAGGAGGCGCCTCCCGACAATGGCGGCATGGCGGCCGTCGCCGAGGCGCTCGGGCGCATCGGGCTGCAGTCCTACGCTGCCGCGTTTGACTCCGAGGGCTACGACGACATCGAGTTTCTGCTCGGGCTGGACAGCGCCGAGCGGGCAGCCGTGGCGACGGCGACGGGCATGGACGCGAAGCCGGGGCACGCGGGGAAGTGGGTCAAGTTCGGCTTCGGGGAGCCCTGACACACACCTATACGCGTTCCCTGGCGTGCCTCCCTTGAGCTTGATTGTTGTCTAAGTCTATAGGTGACATTCGATTTGTGTTGTTTGTTCTGACTGAGCCGGCGTTCTCTCATGTCTCTGTGTACCTAGCTCGGTTCGTGTTAGCCGGTGGGTGTTTGCTTTGTCTGTCTGGGTGCCCCACGGACAGTAAAGAAAGAAAAGAAAGAAAGCAAACCCAAGGGAGGGTAGCGCCGGAGAGGACGAGCGCGCCAGGCATTCTTTTTGTCCCGCGTGTAAAATTCTTTTTGTGGACAATGGCGGCGTCGAGCGCCTCCGCGATGACGGACGTCGTGAAGACGGCGGAGGAGAGCTGCTGCTCGCGATGGGCGACTAGGGGGACTACACGCCCGCGATTCCCGAGGAGGTGACCGCGCACTTCTTGGCGCAGTCGGGCTTCCAGGCGACGGACGAGCGGCTTGTGCGGCTCGTGTCAGATGATCTCTCGGAGAAGAGTCGGAGGGACCTTGGCGCCGGGATCACGAGGAACTTGCAAGTCGTGGCCGAGGCGGCGACGGGAGCGGTGCAGAGGTGGATCCAGCTCAATGATGAGGCGACGGCGCGCATAATGAAGAGAGAGGAACACATCGAGTGGCTGAGGAAGCTCTTCGCTGGGTGGAAGGAGGCCCGGCCGGCCTTGAGGGAGTCGCGGAGGAGGAGGGATAACGCAGGCAACGCAGGGACGGGCCAACAGCCAGTGGGACGAACGAGGGCCGCGACGGCGGCTCAAGCGGGAGGGAGCGGAGACAGTGGGCAGCGAGCGAAGTGGGTGAGAGATGATGCTCCTTCTTAGGGAGCGGTTCAGCTGCTGGGCGGGCTTCAGGGTGGTGCTCACGCGAAAAGGAATCGACGCGATGTACAAAGCATACAAGAAGAGGAGAGAGAAGGGGAGGGGCACCAGTGATGACAAAACAGAACCTAGTGCAGACGAGAGCAGGGCAGACCCGGGGACTGGGGAGCCGGAGCAGACGGCATCGGCCGCCGAGGGAACGTTGGGAAGAGGCACGAGGAGGGCGGCGACCTCAACCGGCTATGGAGGACCTGTCACCAGACGACGCAGGGCAGACGATGGTGAGGCGGAGCAGACGCGCAGGGCGAGACGAGGGAGGGAGCAGGACGTTGCTTCGTTGCGGAGATCAGCAGGAGGATGTACGAAAAGATTAGGAGCAGCAGGGACCCGAGGGACAATGTGGAAGACGGCTAGCGTGCTAGAAGTCCCCGCCACCGGGAGACAGGACGACCCCTGCTAGTCGCCGACCACACCCACAAAGAACCCTGCACAAAGATCGCACGGGCCGTGTTCCTTTTTACCCATCTCACAGTAGGGAGGTGTCCGTTTTTATTTATTTATTTCGTATTTTACTTTTTAGGGTGGTAAGCCAACACACTCCAAAAGTGCTCTCCATGTCCTACCAAGTGCCTGCGCGTTTTGGGAGAGATAGATCCACATACATAATGACAGTATGTAAAAGGTGTGCGCAAGAGGATCCGCCAACTGGCCAACCATGCAAGGAATCGCGCCGCGCGCAGTGCGACGCACACCTAGCGCGCAGCGGCAGCGCGCGCCAGTCCCGTCCACCCGGAAAAACGCTCGACGACGGAAAGCCCCAGAGGGGCTGAGGGCGTCTCAGTCCCAATTCACGCTCAAATCCGCGTCCCACCACCAGCCCTTCCCGCGAGCCAGGGTGCCCGCTGGGAAATCGCGGTCAAACGGCCTCACACTGCGCTTGCCGTTGCAATCGTTCCCGTCGTCGAGATGTGGCTGCCCGAGATTGTGGAACAAGCGCACCCAGCCGTGGCGCATAAAATCGGTGTTGCGGCGCCACGGCAGGTACCTGTTGTCGCGCTGCGTCCTCGCCTCGTTCGTGAGATCGCGTGCTCCAAACAGCTCCTCGATCGGCTTGCCCTCTTCTCGAAGCTCCTGGACCGAGCGCTCGCGCAGCCAGGCCGGCACGTAGCACGTGAAGAAGTCGTGATCGGGGTGGTCCTCGCAGTGGATGGTGCCGTTTCTTTCCTCGTCCTCGTACGTGAGCACCGCCACCCGCGGTGAAGCGCTGCTGGACTCGTCGGCCGCTCTGTCCACCACCCAACGGTCGAGGAGCGCCTCGTAGTCAATCTCCTCGTCGTCGAAGCAGCAGCCGAGGGAGAGGTCGATGTCGCGCAGCCGTCTTGCGCCGCGCAGGAACGCGGCGAGGCCGGTGGCGGAGTAGCCGCAGTGCACAAAGTGCACGCGCGCGAGCTGAGCGCAGCCGCGCGCAAAGGTCTCGAGCGCGTGCGTCTGCAGATTCAGGCCGTGGATGGCGAGCGAGGTCAGGTTCGGCGCCTGCTTGCTGAGGGACACCAGCGAGGGCGAGAAATCTCGGTACGTCATCACCATCGACAGGTCCAGGTGGCGGAGGCCCTCGCAGCAGGTGGCCAGCGTCTCAACCTCCTCAAACGAGACGCCGCCGCGCACGTTTGCGTAGCCGATGTCGAGGCCGGTGAGCGTGGGGAAGCAGCCGCCCAGCAGCGAGAGCGTGTTCTTGTGCCACGGCTCGGAGTGCGCGTCAGCCCAGGCGCCGCTGGGCCGCTCCAAGCCGAGGCGCAGCAGCTGAAGCACGGGGAGGTCGAGGCAGACCAGAGCGGGCAGCACGATCGGGCCAAGCCCAGTGAGGTCGAGGTGGGTCAGCGTCTGCTGGCAGCCAACGGCGCACATCATGAAGATCGAGGTGACTGAATCACGGGCCTCGCGTGTGCGGCGCCCTCGCACGTGCGGCGCGTAGGGGATGAAGCCTCCGCCGGAATCTTCGGACGGCTCATCGCTGAGCGCCTCGCAGGTGATGGCGAGGTGCGTCAGTCGCGTCTGCATAACGATCCACGGCTCGGGGCCGCGCTTCGCCGGTGGACGCCGCTCGGCCAGCCAGGAGGCGACCATGTCAAGGCGGTCGATGCCGTTGCCGGCCCTCGGGCCGGTCGCTGTGGGCGAGCCCCTCACCTCGTGAGGGATTGGGCTGAGATCCACCCGCAGCACCCGACAGCGGGGAAGCAGGCCCGTGAGTCGTGGCAGAATGCTTTGCGCACGCGACGCGTCCCGTGTGACACTGAGGGCGTCATTGATGTGCACCTTCGCACCAACGAGGAAGGCGGAGTCGTGCGTCGCCGGGAGGAAGCACACACGCGGGACGGTGGTACCGCGGGATGACAGGGACGCCTCGGGGCCGGGAAGGAGGCACACGCCCAAATGGGTGATGTGCTGCGTGCATCGCTGAAGGAGCTGGCGATGCGCGGTGCACGTCGCCGTGCACCGCGGCAGGCAGTGGAGCGGCACGCGCCCGAGCACGAGCACCCAAAGGTCTGCGTTGGAGTGGACACTGGTGAAGCACGCGAGTGCGTCAGCGTCGTCGGCGTCGGGCATGTCTGCTCTGGCCGCAGTCGCTCCCACAGCTGCTCGGTGTGGGAAGAGAGCAGCAGACGAGAGCGCTCTGAGCTTCGTACCGGGAGCCAGCGCGAACCGGGCCACAGTGGCACCTCCCCGGGCCAAAGAGAGAATTTAAACAGCCACTCTTCCGCGATTGAGCACTGGATAGGGCCGATTCCGCGTGGTACGGGACCCCTCGATCGTCTCGCCCTCCCTCACTGGTATGTTCATTGGGGGCGATACACACGGGGTCATAACAAACACGGTACAGGATCGAGGTGCACGCTGCCGAAGCAGTGTCGTCCCCCCTCTCCCCGACGGCGATGGCGGTGTGACCGATCGAGCTACAAGAAGAACTTGTTCAGCAGGATCCGGGATAGTCTGATGCACTACCTCACTGGGCCTGAGACCATCAGCCAGCATCCTTGCTTGCAGCACACAGGCTCGACACAGGTGCGAACTGGCGCGTGCTAGTACTATCACCGGCAAAGAGAGAAATGCACAGCAAACTGGCTCGGACTGGCGCTACAAATGGCACAGCGGCGACGGCCCCTTACGGGTCGTCAAAGAGGCCGGCGTACTCCTCAAAGAGAGAATATGCTGGTGGGGGTTCTCGAGGTTCTCGAGGTGGATATCCTTTGGCCGCGTTGGTTGGGTAGCTAGGGGTCAGGGCTCTCTAGCCCGTAGCCCGATGCCGATCATCCGGCTCGCTGGGTGCGCTTCTTAGCTCCCCGGCCCTGGATGTGAGGTTAATGACTGCACTCCAAGTGCTCCAAGTGTGGATACCCATCGTGCAAGCCCCACCCGGCTGGCGGGTGGACCTGGGGGCGTGCCGCCCTGCTTGCTCTAGGTGAAACGTCTAAAGGACGAAGATGCACGGAGGTGCGACCAACTCAGCACGACGGGCGGAGAAGCCGGGCACTAGACCAGGAAGGACTGGGAGAGGTGTGAATGGAGGGACACGTGTGGTTCAGACGTCCCCCCCCTCGACGTAGTCGAGTCACTCACATGGATAGAGAGGAAAGTGTCCCTCTCGATGGGGCATGGAACATGCACTGGAGAGTCTGTGGCTCTCGCGGGGGGCCGCGGCACTGCTCGCGACTCGCGGCGCGGCGCCCGCGCCCACGTCTCGGTGAAGGAGATTCACTTCCCATCCGACTGGGAGGAAGGCTCCTTGACATTCATGATCTTGTCCCGCAGCTCGAAGAAGCGCTGGGGTTTGAGCGGCTTCGTGAAGAAGTCGGCGAGGTTCTCGTCGCTGCGGACAAAAGGAACACAGATCTTGGCTTCCTCGATGGCCTCGCGGATGAAGAAGTGGCGCCGCTCGACGTGTTTGAGCCTGCCGTGGTTCTCGGGGTTGTAGGCAGAGGCAATGGCGGCCTGGTTGTCACAGTACTGCTTGGTGGGCGGGGCCTCGGGGGGGGGTGATGATCTCGCCGTCCTTGACGTACGACTCGAGCTCGGCCTTAAGGCGACGGTAGCTCAAGACGTCCTTGGTGGCCTCAGAGGCTGCCATGATCTCGGACTGGCAAGAGGAGAGCGCAATGGAGGGCTGTTGGACGCTGCG